AGATTAACTGTATTTTTTTAAAATCTTAAAAAATGTGAGTGTAATTTCCTTTAGGCAAATGATAATTTGGCCGTCTTTTATAAAGTAAAATATTCCCATTAAAATCAGAAAAATATTTGTGGGGTCAATTTCTTGTTTTTTTGCATATGTTTAAAATCACTACAACACGTAAGAGTTTTAGAGATCAAATTTTTTTATCTCTAAAAGTAAAAATTTTGTTGTAAAAGACATTTAGAGACCAATTTATATTGTCGCGAGGATAGTCGGTAAAAGGTCCTTTTGAAAAGTCAAAAATAAGGTTTTTAGAGACAAAATTTTGAAAATGTCACTAATAAATATATTTTTAGGGACAAAATAATTTGGTTTCAAAATAGCTTATTTTTTGAGACAAAAAATTTAGTCCCAAAAAGTTAATAATTCATCACTAATGTCCAATTTTTGTTGCTAAAAATATAATGACGACACTTTTCGCAATAAAAATATTTGGTCCTTAAAATATAATTTTGTCCCTAAATTGTGTGTCTAAAACTTTAATATTTTGTAGTGAATGACAACCAAAAAAAAAATATAATTTAAGGCTTAATATTAGTATATAAAGTAAATTACAAATACATCTTATAAATTTTGCTTAAAATACGAATTATTTTATGTGATTTTAAAAATTATAAATATCATTTTTCAAAATTTGTCACTTAACAGAGTCCTCCCCCCCAAGATTGGGTGTGAATATAATGCGGGACCTAGGAGAGTCAAACGTGCTCTTTGAGGGATTAGAGATGTTTTTGGACTGATGTAGCTAGATGGGTCTGGGTACATGAGACACTATTTCTGTTCCTTTTTGGGTTGATGTCTCTGTGCTGACTCATATTGAGTTTCTAGTATAGAGCTCCCACTTGCAGATGTTCTCAGCGGTCGCACGGTGCATTGGCTAGTATGAGATTGTTCCTTTTTGGAGAGATTGAGATAGAGATGTGGCAGTGTCATGCCAACTCATGTGCGAGTGTGAGATGTTAGTAATGGGCGCCCATATGGCATGACCATTTAACATTTGAATTTGATCCTTATCCAAATAGGTTTTGAATTTGAATTCAAACCTATTTAGGATAACCACTCAAGATACAGATATTATCAGTTTTAACTGATATGGATAGATAATAATAAAATATTATATATCTGGTATA